TCACTTGTCCTCAAGCAGTGTGAAGATTAGGAAGATTACTCCACCGTAGAGAAAGAAGAATACCAGGGATCACAGCTTGGCGATACATGTTTGTCTACCATTGTTGAATGGGGTCATTCGATGAGTGAAGAGGAATATGAAAATTCCACAGTGAGCACGAAGGAGTTCATCTGTAATTTTTCAGAGAACTTTGCTATGATTGACACGGAGGTTATGTGCTCAAGGCCCACTGACGAGGACAGTCATGGTCCAATGTTTATTTCACTCAGACCAGCTTCCCTTTCATCTGGAGACAGAAGACAGTATCGCATGGGAGCAACTCTTCGTGAGGCGAAACTGCGGAGGAAGGAGAAACAGAAAGAGAATAAAAGGAAAGGTAGGCCGCCAACTTCTGATCAAGCAGCTTCATCGACTGCAGCGGCATGAAACTCAGAGCGGAAGCTAACTTTTAATGATAGCTAGGAAGTGAAGATACTTCTGATCACAGTTGATACTTTGCTTCCAAGCTTGACTTTGAGTTGCCAGGCTGAAGTTTTAGTGAACTCTGGTTTGCAAGAAGGAGAAACTTTTTGTCAAAGAAGATACTCCTGCATTCCAGGTTTATACGCTTTAGCATGCAGATAGGTATGGACAGTTTTGCATAACTGACGATATCTATCACAGCCGCTTTTTCTGAGGTGACCTCTAATGGACAACCATTCATGGTTGAGGATTAAGTCATTTCATAAGTTTGCATTTGTAGTGCAAGTTTTGTACATACATTTGCCGGTGTCTCCTTCCTTTTTGTTTTTGGTGTCAATGAGAAAGAGTCCTTTTGATGCAGTTCCATTTTTATTTAAGTCCTGTGTATGGAAGCGGCCGAGACCACTTTTAGAGAAGAACATTCCTCGGACCGATTTATGTGCGCTCCTTGCATTTTGCAAGGCATCTTAATTCATTGCAATTTGTGCGGTCTTGAATTTTTAGTTCTTCGTTACGCGAGTGTTGTTTACTGCTTTTACAGGTCTCTGTGTAGGAAAGCCGCTTTCCTTCGAATTTAAGTTTCTTTGAAGCTCTGGCTATTTAAGGGCTATTGAGCGCCGGTACATGGTATCTTCGCCGGTGAACAATACAGTCTCCAGCCGAGGTACATTGTCTTTGACTTTGTAATTGAGGTGAGTCAGCTATTGCTCCCTCACTGTATTTAGTATACCTAGAGATTACCTTTTCTAAAGTGTGAAATACACTGGAATTGGTAAGTACAAGGCACCGTAGTTTCCTTTTAAGCTTACTAGAGCTTGCTGGACTGTTTTGGCCTTACGGTAGAAAAATAGTGTGCGACATACGCAATAGGCAGGAGTGGACATGAATTTTGTGCCTGCTGAAATGTAGAGGCCTACTTGTACAGGTTCCACTCCAGTGGCCTATCTAGTGTGTCCATGCTTGACTGCCATAAGGCTCAAGAAGGGATATAGGATAAGACTCTGCGTGAGCAAAAGACACTAGCGGTCTGCACCTCTACCGTGTACGCCCTAGTCACTCTTTCACCCCCCAACCCCCCCATGAACGCATGTGAAAGCATGCATGCGAACGCATGTGAACGCATAGAAAATTTTTGAAAAACAAGGACAAGCGCCACGTGTACAAGCATGTCACATACACATACGTCATTACCGCCCCACCCCACCCCCCCAACCCCCCCATGAACGCATGTGAAAGCATGCATGTGAACGCATGTGAAGTTAAAAAAACGCCTGAAACGCACGGCCCCTTACAGGAACCGATACCAAAAACATGCACAATACCACAGAAAAACGCTCCTTTCCAATTTAACGCCAGGAACAGCTTCAAGTCTACAGGGAAGCACATGTTGCATGCCGTGCTCCTCGCAATGCAAAAATGAAAAAACGATTGGTCACACATAGACTGGATTAACTCGACAGGGAAGCCACCTGACCACTAGGAGCAAGGACGCTACTAGGGGCTCCTGGCCTTACTACTAGGAGCAAGAAGCTACTAGGAACAAAGGGCATCGTTACTAGTAGCTCCTGGCCTTACTACTAGGAGCAAGAAGCTACTAGGAACAAAGGGCATCGCTACAAGGAGCAAGGGCATCGTTATTAGTGGCTCCTGGCCTTACTACTAGGAGCAAGAAGCTACTAGGAACAAAGTGCATCGCTACTAGGAGCAAGGGCATCGTTACTAGTAGCTCCTGGCCTTACTACTAGGAGCAAGAAGCTACTAGGAACAAAGGGCATCACTACTGGCAGCAAAGGCATCTTTACTAGTAGCTCCTGGCCTTACTACTAGGAGCAAGAAGCTACCAGGACCAAAGGGCATCGCTACTGGGAGCAGGGGCATCGTTACTAGTAGCTCCTGGTCTTACTACTAGGAGCAAGAAGCTACTAGGAACAAAGGGCATCGCTGCTAGGAGCAAGGGCATCGTTACTAGTAGCTCCTGGCCTTACTACTAGGAGCAAGAAGCTACTAGGAACAAAGGGCATCGCTGAAAGGAGCAAGGGCATCGTTATTAGTGGCTCCTGGCCTTACTACTAGGATCAAGAAGCTACCAGGAACAAAGAGCATCGCTACTAGGAGCAAGGGCATCGTTACTTGTAGTTTCTGGCCTTACTACTAGGAGCAAGAAGCTACTAGGAACAAAGGGCATCGCTACTAGGAGCAAGGGGCATCGTTACTAGTAGCTCCTGGCCTTACTACTAGGAGCAAGTAGCTACTAGGAACAAAGGGCATCGCTACTAGGAGCAAGGGCATCGTTACTAGTAGCTCCTGGCCTTACTACTAGGAGCAAGAAGCTACTAGGAACAAAGGGCATCGCTACTAGGAACAAGGGCATCGTTACTAGTAGCTCCTGGCCTTACTACTAGGAGCAAGAAGCTACTAGGAACAAAGGGCATCGCTACTAGGAGCAAGGGCATCGTTACTAGTAGCTCCTGGCCTTACTACTAGGAGCAAGAAGCTACTAGGAACAAAGTGCATCGCTACTAGGAGCAAGGGCATCGTTACTAGTAGCTCCTGGCCTTACTACTAGGAGCAAGAAGCTACTAGGAACAAAGGGCATCGCTACTGGCAGCAAAGGCATCGTTACTAGTAGCTCCTGGCCTTACTACTAGGAGTAGGAAGCTATATACTAGGAACAAAGGGCATCGCTACTAGGAGCAAGGGCATCGTTACTAGTAGCTCCTGGCCTTACTACTAGGAGCAGGAAGCTACTAGGAACAAAGGGCATCGATACTAGGAGCAAGGGCATCGTTACTAGTAGCTCCTGGCATCGCTACTAGTTGCAACTGAGAAGCACATCCGACATGGGCCAACAGGTGAGACCAAAAGACCAAACGGTGAGGCTTCGTCGAGCGTAAGGTCGGTGGGTGATCCCACCGCCGATCCTCTTGTTTGACAAAGAAGCTATGAAGCACGGACGAAAAAATGAGATGAAGGGACATGAAAGGCAACACCAAGAGTGACAAAAGATAGAATCAAATGAAAACAATGTTCTTGCCAGTCGTTGCCACATCAACGAAAGGGGGGCAGGCGAAGAGAGGCCAAACCTCATTGTACGGAACCTGAACACCTAAGCTGTGTTTGTACAATGAAGAGGAACGAGAAATAGCGAGGAGCTGGCCATCCAAATACTGGTCCTAAAAGGTATTAGCGACAAGCAAAACCGCGTTGTGATCCGATTCCCATTGTCTTTCCAAAATGTCGTGCTTCGGCTTCCTTGGCTTCACAGATTAGGAGCTCCACAATTTACGCCCTCTACGTCAACCAACTCGCCCTGATCCTTTCCCATTTGTGCTCTTTGGGCAACGCTTCATCGAAAAAGCGCGGAAGGTCGTCGAGGTAGGAAGCCAAAGAATGCAAAATGCCAAAGATTCATAAATGCAAAAAAATGATGTTGCATTGATAAAAGGTTCAATTCAGAAAAACTGTGTGAGTCTTTCTTAAATGCAAATTCATGAATCAATCAAATTCATAAAAAGGACTTCTATAGCCACCAAAGATTGATTAAAGGATCGGTTAAAAAGTGAAAGACGAAATCGCTCGCACAATAGCACTCGCCCAGACATGTTCTTGAAGCCCAGAAGAAGTCCCTGCAAATGGTCGGAAGTGTAAACGGATGGAAGTGTCCTTTACAGTGACAAGAACAAGGTCTTGTGGGCAAAGGCCTCATCTGTCATCTTTGTGCCAAATCGTGGGCAAGAATTGGGATGAAGTCAAAAATTGGGAAAAAGAGAGACGGGAAGAGGGTCAACAAGAAAAGGGGAGACGGAAAGGACAGGTGAAGCACCAAATGGCAAGTTTTTCTGAACATGTTTCCTCAGCACGTTTAGGTTGGAGTCCAATGCTATTAGGGCGGTGGAGGCCATCGCTACTAGGGTGGAGGCCATTGCTACTAAAATCGGCCACAAAAGGGCGAACTCTTGGGTGCGAAAACCGCGAAAATGGAACGGACTGGACAGGAAATTTAGCCCCACACTTGGTCGGGCCGATGGCTCCAGATGTGAGAAAGGCTTGTAAGCAATGAAGTTGAAAGGAGCCATCGATGAAGAGGATGACCAGCCTGAACTCTACAGGGTTGTTCCCTGGTGTACACACACCAAAAAAAGAAAGGCACCCAGAGCTTTCAAAGACTGTCAGGTACACGAGTGAACAGGGGGCAGAAAAGGCAAAGCGGAGATTCTGCAGTGATGTGTCATCATTGGGTGAGATACCTTTGCACTGCTGAGGACACCAGTGCACAAAAGCCTGATGGGTTCGCTTGATATGTTGATTAGACCGGCTATATGTCTATTTTTGGGTATTCCTGTTCTCAGTCCGTGACAGACGTTTGCGTGGTTACAAGTTTTCCGCGCCGTCCGGCAATCCAAGCTGCTTGGCAGAACTCCGGGCATACTTCTTGGCTAAAATAGCTAAATACAACATGCCTGGAATGTCCTGGCTTAAACCTCTCAAGTGACTTCAATATCCACATATTGTTATATAATGGTCCTTGGCCGAGGGTCTGGCACTGAGATCAAAACACGAAGCGCTCGCACCACCCGCACCAGCCGGAACATCCGCAGCAACGTGACGCTCACAAAGTCGGAGATGGCAAGACCAACCCAACCGGAGACCACCGCGAAGAGATCGATCATGTTCCACTTGTTCCAAATGAAAGCACCTGATACCCGCTTTCTTTATGCGTTTCGTCTCCAACGGCAAAAACAAATTACACCAGATTGTACTAAGTTGTTTTTGTGTTAAACATTACTGTGTTGGGGATCAGATCTGTCAAGAATTGTCATCTATCAAAGACCATCTGCTTCACACCAAGGCACTTCTCTCGACAAACGCTCGTAAAACACATTCAATGGAATAAATGATGAGCAGTGAGATATTGAGACCAACGAGCCATGGATTTGCATCACTACGGTCAGGACATTCATTGAAACGATTGTAGTACATAGGGTAACACTGCGCATCCTTGTTTGCCTCGTACATGATGAGAACCAAATTGCTCAAGATTACGACTCCCATACAAGTCTCAAAGGTCTGTGAGAATACCACTTCAGCTGCTTTCATCCTCCAATGTGACCAAATCAAACGCCCATCTGCATCCAACCATGGTTTTCCATTGGCATAGCTTTGATAACGAAGGCTTTTGATCTGCGCCATCGTCTCTGCGACGTGTGCTTCATTCATCTTCTCCGTTTCTGTCTTCCGATTCACCGTTAAGTGAGCCATGGCGCTGATGGCGCTCAACGCAGCGGCGAAAGAGAGGTCTGAGCCCAAGACTTGTGATTAATGGGCAGACACCAAAACAAAATAAAAAGGAAACCATTCATGTTTCGGAGGTCCTGGCAGAATCCCTATGTGGTGTAAAAATTGTAAGCCATGATTTTACCCGCTTTTGGAATTTCGTGTTCGGCATAGTTCCCTGGCAAATACGTTGATCGTTGGGAACGCCGAAAACACCAAAAAAAGAATGGCGATGCTCAAGCTTGCACAAAATCAAAAGGGAAACGTTTGTCGAAAGGGAAACAAAAATACTGCCCGTTTCCACCCAACAACCAGTGTGTCTCTGTGGACCAAGCGCCAAGAACCCACTTAATTCGATCTTGAAACATAACAGAGTGATCCTTACAAATTCCGAGTTTGAAGGTTTTGGAGATACTTACAGTGTTCTGCAACAAGGAACTCACTGTCATTCACCAAGCTGCAGTTTATTTATATTCTCATTTTCACTGTCCAGTCATCTTTCAAGTGCTCAGGAAGGTATTCTCAACCAAAGCGCCACTTTCCAAGAACAATCCGCACTATATAGATATCAAACCAAACGCTTTGAGTGGAATTGGGCAGTGAAAACTACAGGACGGCTCCAAGGGCCACTGCGGCGGGAAACTGTGAGGGCAAAGGGGAATTGAAATCCCAACAACTGAGAAGGTCAGCTTCTGCGTTAACAATTCCGAGAAGATGGCTGACATCAACGTGAACTCCTTCTGCCGACATGAGGTATGCCTTTCTTCTGCAAAGAACCAAAGCGGGGAAGACGTCGTAAACAGTTTGTTGGCGGAAGACTCAGCTGCAGCATTGTCTCAAACTACAAAAACAGCCCATGGGAAAAAACTCAACGCACAACAGGATCAAGAAAGCTTCAACGTTAAGCCGCACGTTCAGCGAGACACTGCCTATCTGCTGCTGGTGTGGATCTCGAGTCCGTGCTGTGGTTTTCGGTGCACTCGTGGCCACGTCCTTATTGGTTTCTTTACCATCCGCCATTGTGGTTTTGGACGGTGTACTGCATACCCGTGGGACACAGGTTTTGTCCATGATTGCTTCCGGTTCTTCAAGTACCTCCTCTTACCTACCTCCATCCTTTTGCTCGTTCTTCGGCACACAGCTCCTTCATACCTTGAGCTAAAACCCATGCCACTAAGAATACTCCTCTATTAGCCCTGCCTTTGCCTGAAGGTGCACAGACTCTGCAAGCTGCTGATTTTGACTGCCCACTCTTGACAAGGACTTTCTCGGAAACCTGTACGTGATAAAGTGGGCATGGACAAAAGAAAAGAAAGACTTCAAGATGCCCCATGATCTGAGAGCCGGGCCCTTTATTCGAACTTGAAAGAAGTTCCGTTTCACCAGTTCTGTTGGTCAATCTTGTGGGACATTTTCGTTGGACGTTGTCCGACATTCACTCTTGCGGAACACTCTTTTCGGACATTCTTGCGGGACACACTGACATGACACTCTTGTGGGACGCTCTTGCGGAACTCGTGCAGGACACTCTTGCAGGACATGCAGGACTCAAAGAAACCGCGACCGAACGCGAAACACGCGCACCTTTTCTAGAAAGGATTCGGGCCACTGCGGGCGTACATGAAGTGAAAGTTTCTTACACTCCACCTTGAGTTGGCTGCGTTGCTTAGCTGCCAACTCATCTCTCCATGTACAACCGGACGTACCGGTCGAAGTCGTCGTCCCAATCTCCAGTCAGGACGATCTTGCAAAAAGTGCCATAGTCATGGCGATCGTCCAACCCCCAATGCACAATGTGGTCGAATGCCATGTGGGGGAACGATCGGCTGTAGATTGAAGCCAATCTTGTCCTAATGAACTCCTTCAGCTGGCGCGTGGTGAAAAGTCCAGCTTGGAGTACTCGGCGAGCTCGCTGCTCTTCCTCCCTTTTCATGTACTTGAAGAGGTTCTCGAAATCCCACCAGTCAGCATCAACTGGTGTAGGGTCAAATGCAGACCGGTTGTTCGGGTCTTCTGCCGCTTCATTGTAGCCTTCAGGACGTAGTGGACCATCCACATCCATGTAAGCAGGTGGTGCTGCATCGTTCTCGAAGCTGGGATCTTCCCTCTCTGAAGCCGTTGGCTTGTAGTACCTGTGGTACCCGCTGACTGCATTGCCCATGAAGTACTCTTCGCCACTAAAGGCATCTTCTTCACTCTGCAGTACGCGGTAGTCTGCCAAAGTCCCAGTCATAGGGTCCCAATCAGTGATGATCTGACCTGCTGTCCTCTGTTGTAGCTCAGTCTCACCACCTTGCTCTTCCATTTCTTCATCCGGCTCACTTTCATCTTCCTCTTGTGCCTCTGCTTCTGCAAGTTGCTCCACCTGTGGTGCATGCTCCACCTCTGGTGCATGCTCTTCTTGCTCTCTCAGTTAGAGGAGACCTTGCCTATCTTTCATTTGCTATGCTCCCCCCTACACTTTCACAACAAATCACAACAGCATCACACATACACAAAAAATCACAACAAATCCCAACAGACATCCACAAAACAAACAAAACAAAACAGCAGCCAACAAACATCACACAGCAAACAAAATCACAACAGCCGAACCTCGCCTCACAACTCAACATAAATTTCACAAAACCTTTTACAACATCATAAAGTTTCAAAGAAACATTCATCATAATAATATACAAACATTTCTCTAAATAACTTTTTGATGTAAAAAAACTTTCTCCTAAACTATTTATAGGATTTAGGGGAACTTTTTTTTAAACCCCGACGACCGCCACGCCACGGCTTCGGGGACATCCTGGACAACTTCAATTGGTGCGCCTTGCATGTTTTACACGGAGTGCGGTGAAAGTTCAGCGAGTGATGATGCCAACCAGACTTGAAAGATGCATTCAACCAAAGCATTTGGAGAGAGTGACACTGCAAAGCAGTATTCAGAGCAGAACATGCCACACAAACATGTGTTTTTCTGAGCCGTTTGAAAGGCAAGTCAATTCGCGCAGTGTGACACTTTCTCAACATGTCGCTTGAAGTGTCCTTCCATGTTCAGGGTAAAAAGAGTTGCAAATTCATGAAGCGATTCGTCGCAGATGACATGGGCGACAAGTCTGTAAAAGACATCAAGGAGTTCATGTGCCAGTGGTGCAATGAGAACTTCACAAACTTGCGTATTATCACGCAAGAACTCAAAGTCTTTGTTGGCGACGATGAGCAGGATGACAATGAGGTCATTGCAACGGGTCAGCATGTCAAGGTTGTCTATGAAGATTTCAGGGTTGGTTTGAGCCGTGCCTTGGATGGCATCCCCAACTGTGACGAAGCAAACAAGGCATTTCAGAATGCTTTGTTGAACCAACAGACCGCGTCGTCCAGTGCTATGCCAGAGACACCAATGCCAAAATCTACAATGTGATAGTTCAGGACGAGTATGAGCAGTCCATTGATAGTTTAGAAGTGACTGGCAACACTACTCTTCAAGAACTGGCTGACATACATAACCACTTCGGAGACAAACTCTATTTTACGATGTGTGCCAACCCAGCGAGTGATGATGAGAGTTCAGATGAGGAAAGCGTCCCCGAGACAACTACACAGGTTCCAGATGACGCGCTTACAGAGGCTGACACTGTCCCTACTACCGTTGCTGATGCAAACGAGCCGGAAGATGAACCAGTCACCGGAGCAGTCACGCTATCCTACGGTGATGGTGTGACAAAAGAGATTGACATTAGTGCAGTGAAGACTTTGGGACAGTTTCGGAAGAAGTGCGAGGAGGTGACCAAGATTTCGGGCAATGACTTTCGCTTCAAGATTGGTGACGTTGAGGTTTTCCAGAAGAATGCCATTCATTTGAAGACCGGCATCCGTGCCGGAATGACCGTCACTGCAACTCTCCGTGGTCGTGGCGTCAAGGGAGTGAAGAAAACAGAAGTCAAAAAGAGTGAAAGCATGGTTTTTTTATGTTTGTATGATTGACAAGTCCAAAAATGTAAATATGGACGGTGGTGATATGAAGCCTCACATGAAGGCATTGTCAGACACAATTCGTGTGGCAGTGGAGAAGGCAGATGTTTCTGGCATTGATGGGCTCCGCTACTTGATTGACAACTGCTCTTCGGATGCGTTCTTGGGAGAGGCGATGGATGCCACTGACCGCAAGAAGTCAAAAACCAACAGTGTGGATGTCCGAGTGCATAAGTTCGCCAAAAGCATTTTGGGTGAAAAGATGCAGAAGTTGCTTGAACAGAAGGGCAATGTTGAGATGTCCATTGAGAGTTGTTGCACTGCCGTGCATTTCATTTTCACCAAGACTTGCTCGGAGATTGAGAACTTTGATTTGAGCAGTGTGCGCTCTATGGTGGATAAGCGCAAGTCCTTCTTGGCTGGTCAGAGTGCTCGTCCTTCGGCTTCGGCTGACACCGGTGTAGATGCAGTCACCAATGCCTTGCGTGATACTCGCATGGCTGATTGATTTTGAGATGGCACAGTAGCAATCTTGTAAAGACCCCTGCCAGTATTTGGAAGCACATAGCAACAGGCACCAGCGCACATAGCAACAGGCACCAGCGCACATAGCAACAGGCACCAGCGCACATAGCAACATGCGTGTATAATCAATTGTTTCCTTTTACAACGGCGGGGGCATAAACCAAAGCACAAACCGCGAAGAGATAAAAGATAGAGCATTGCTATTGCACCTTTTTTTTGCATGTGCTTGTCCGACTGTTTTTTATGTCTTGACCTTTCGTTGTCTCAATTTTTCCTACTGCCCCCTTGCATATTCGCGACAGGTCTTCAACGACGACGACAACAGCCACATGAACCCCAACACTAACCAGTTTGTCATGAACTTCAACCAGTTTTACCACAAGAACTCTTTAAAGTATCTCTACAAGGGTCTCGTCCTTTAAAGTGGTTCGTGCGCGGGGTTGCGGGGTTTTGGTAGGGGGTTTCGTTTGTTTGTTGTCTTGTTGTGTTGTTTTGTTGTGATGTTTTTGATGGAGGCTTTTTAGGTATGAGGTTTTTTTTTTGGCATCCATCCCTGCTTGGACAGAAGGGTCGCCGAGGAACACATCACGCGTCCGGAGCCTTTCAGGGAGGTAAGGGTTTTAAACCATAACTATAAATATATAACCTTATATAAACGAAAGGGGATAGCAGTTGCTATCGTCTTTCGTTGTGGCTGGGTGCAGGGTTTCGGAAGTGAAGATTTCGTTGATGACTACAACGACGATGATAAAAAGATGTCGTAAATTAACTCTGACGGTATTTTGTATAAATCCGTTTGAGTGAAGAAGATGGCATCTTCTGACCAATCTGATTTTTTGCCATTTGGCATTCGTTGAGCCGTAGCTACATGCTTACCATTGCGAATTCTACCGCAATCCTTTTTACATAACTCTTTACCTTTCCAGTTTTGGAGGTTATGCCACAACCTCGTTCTTTTCCGATACGGCATACCATACTTACAGTAATCACTATCTGTGTATGAAAACTCGTTCATAAATGGTTGTTGCTTCAAAAGCCCCGTTTGCGGGTTTTCAATGACAAAGTATTGAGGTTCAAAATATTTTATTATCTCAATGGTGTTTAGAACTATGTTGTTTGCTTCGTCAATTTTTCTTATTCCAGTCGTTTTCGCACGGCTGTATTCCGTGCATGGCGGAGATGCCCAGACGAAATCGAAGTCTTTGTCAAAACTTTTGTAGTTCCAGTCCAAAATGTCACAGTTCAAATCCGCATTTTTCAAATCCAACGAGATAACAGAATGACCTAAATTTTTGGCAACTCTGCCAACAGAGCCCGTTCCACTAAATAATTCTAATACTTTCATATAGTATTAGAACTATTTAGAAAAAGAAAATTACTTTTCATCAGGCCAGAGGTTGTATTTGTCATCCTTGTCTTTCGCAATCTTGTAGAACTCCAATGTTTTTTCTTTTGGTTGTTTGATTTTACCTTTATTGAGCATGTCCAGATACTGCTTTTGTTTAGTTTCAAAACTACCGGCAGGACGACCAATCCCTTTGGTTTCAAAGGCTTTGTTGATTTTTTCTTTCTCTTCATCCACTTTTACTTCATCCCCTTTCACTTTAACCATCTTCTGTTTAATCTCATCCACGTCTTCCTGTATCATCTTCATCACTTTTAGTATCATTTGAACCTTTGACCAAATCTTGATAACGGTATCTTTCCTTTCCTTGTTGCTTTCAGTTGAGGCATCCAGAAACTTCTACCATATAAATTACTATATAGTTTTTAAATATTTATTTGATTATTTATTAATCCATATTGTCCATAAAATCATTCTTTATTGGATTGTTTTTTGGTGTTGTCATCATAACATCACTTATCATTTTGTTTCTGGTTTCTTCATCGTTGTTAGGAGGTGTAACTTGCTTATTCCATCCAAAACTGATACTGTGTATCTCATCATCATCTTTTGAAACTTTCATAGTTTTATCACCTTTACTTATTTTGAAACTACAAGGGTTACAAGAACACTTGACACCCTTTGGGGTTATTTCTATGTGATTTTTTATTTGGAGTTTTCCTTTACATAATGGACACTCAAAGGTAATGAACTTGCCTGACACTTTCTGTTCTTCATCAAAGTTGATTGTTATTGGTTCATCATCACTCAATTCAAAATTTTCAGGTATTGGTTGCTTTTTGATGCCCGTTATATTTTTATGTGCCTTTTTCGGAGGCATTTATATTAAACTTTACATTTTTGAAGTATTGAATGGCAACTCTACACAGTTCAAGAACAGAAAAGCAACACCTCTTGTTTCTAACTACTGGATAAATGTTGTCATTAACCACTATCTCTTCCATATTGTCAATGATGTCTGTATAGTTGTTCATTATTTTTTATTTTAGACCAAATAAGTTTATCTAAAATAAACATCCCAAGGTCAAGTTCTGGGGCTAAACTTGATGTCAAAAGAAGAAACTAATTACAGAGGGGACATTGGATAAACCAAAACCTGTGCGAAGCTTTGCTGGTAAAGATTTTTCAAACTAATTAACGACTTATGCGGATTGAAACGCTATCTGTTCTAATCTTACTGAAACCCAAAAGAAAGAATGTTACCATTTCAATAAACAAATATATATATTTTTTTCTATTTCTAAATATATTAAATATGAGTAAAAATAGTAGGATACCTATAATAGAACCAATCAACATAACCAACTATGAATTCAACCAGTCAAAATATGAACATGTGCCAAAACTACCATTTAGAAGCATTATAGTTGCTTCTTCAACTGGTGGTAAAACAGTTCTCATTCAAAACCTTATTCTGAATGTGTATAGAGGGGCATTTGCCAGTATCTTCATTTTCAGTCCGAGTGTTCATTCAGACCCTACTTTTAATAAAGTCAAAAAATATATCAGAAATGACATGAAAGTAGATGAGACCAAGGAAAAGATTTACTTTCCAGACTATGACCCAGAAGAGTTGAACCATGTAAAATCATTGATTACATGAAAGACCACAAGATGAAGAAACTGTATAGTTGCCTTATTGAAATTGATGACCACGCGGATGACCCTCAATTTGTAAGACACAGCAAGTTATTACATGGACTTTTCACGAGGGGTAGGCATCACGGTATTTCGTTCATCTGTTCAACTCAGAAGTATAACGTATTTGCTCCTATTATTAGGTTGAATGCTTCTTCATTGTATGTTTTTAGATTGAAAAATATTTCTGAATTACAAACCTTCTTAGATCAAAACTCAGCCATTGTTGATAAAGATAGATTGAGAGAGATTTACAATTTAGCAGTGAATGACCAACCATATTCATTTCTGTTTGTCAATATGAATGCCAAAGACATAAACCACATGTGTTATGTAAGGTTTGAGAAAAGGATAGAGATAAAATGATTAATAATATTTTACTAAAATACTATTAAATCAATGAGTAACTACAAAGATTTACAGCAGGTAGTTTGTATGTGACTTTGTCGCTCTTCTTTTCTTCCAGTGTTTCCACCTTTTCTATTAGTTCCTTCATTGCCTTCACCAATAATGCGTTATTTATTGTAGCATGATTGTTTATGTATTCGTTTTCAGTATCGTATTCCTTGATGATTTTGATATACTCATCTTCTTTCTTGGCTTCTTTCTTGAACAGATTACCCATATCCGCTGACCCCGCCGGTTGAAGAGGGTGCGCGCCAGAGAAGGCAACCGAGGGCATGCTGGAAGCGTTGCGGAAGGTCTGACAGCTTGAAGCGTTGCTGAAGGTCCGAAAGCGGAAGACAGCGCGTGCGCGACGCTGCTTCACAGACTTGCTTTCGGGGTTCCGAACGCGACGTTAGAGATTCTGAGGGCGTACGGGGAAGATCTCTTCAGGGCGATTTTTGGTATCGAATTAGATTGTGGAAAGCTGTGGCGAAGGGAATCACTGGGAGCAGGTGTCAGCCAGCCAGAGGACCTGTGGGAGGTGAGAGAACGGCTTATTGTCTACCAGCCAGAGCACCTGTGGGAGGTCACAGAACGGCTGGTTCACAGACGAGTTTTACGGATTCCGAAAGCGCTGATGTAGGCTGCCTGCATTTGCAGCGCTGGAGCGACGTGAGGGCGTGCGGAGAAGATCTCTTCAGGGCGATTTTTGGTGTCGAATTTGATTGTAGAAAGCTGTGGCGAAGAGAATCACTGGGAGCAGGTGTCAGCCAGGCAGAGGACCCGTGGGAGGTGAGAGAACGGCTCATTGTCCACCAGCCAGAGCAAGCTGTGGCGAAGGGAATCACTGGGAGCAGGTGTCAACCAGCCAGAGCACCCGTGGAGGTGAGAGTTCACAGACTTCTTTTACGGATTCCGAAAGCGACGTTAGACATTCATGAGGGCGTACGGGGAGAACCTCTTTAGGGCGATTTTTGGTCTCGAATTAGATTGTGGAAAGCTGTGGTGAAGGGAATCGATTTGTAATGAAAAACCCGCCAACATGGTGCCCTCCCCGGGAAAGTGATAGGAGGCCTGACCCCTCTGGTTCTGGTTTGTTGGTTGTTTTGTTTGGTGTGGTTCTTGGTTTTTGGGTCTGGTTTGGTGCTGCTGGTCTTGATTGTCAGGCTCATCTTACATACCCCCCATCTGAATTCGTCTCGGTGACTTGTGCCTTTCGGCACACATAGCGCCCATACCCGTGCA